GCCATACAAAATTCATGTCACGTCATGTAAATACTTTCAGGTTAAAGATAAATTTTTCCTAATACGCCTGCAGAAAAAGAGGATTGTATAATTTAAGAAAGGTAATATTTGTATCAAGAATGGTTATTAAAAAGTGTAATTTAGTGATTAACTTAACTTTAGAATGCCTACATTTGAGAAAGCATAATTGAAGATATCGTTTACAAATGTAGACCTACATAATTTCAAAATCAATATCTCAATACTAAGACTTGACATTAATATCAATGTCTAAGGATTCTAGGGTGTCCCGGTTAGTTAAACTTACCATTACCTAAAAAGGTTTCTCGGTCATATTGTTTGAGTATTTATTGCATATGCCTTACTACTGGAGCACTCATAAAGTAACATGTTCAGTGAAAATAAGATTAGGTAGATGTAGAATCTTACCGTTTTAAATCCCATAGTAGTTCAACTATCGGTTTTAATGTAGCCTATTTATACGTAATTTCTTTTAGGTTTGTTATTTTAGGTTTGAAAAAAAATACGACTACCAAGTAACGTCTTATTCCAGGGAACTGTTATTAGCAAGATGCTACCTAGTTAGCCGTTCTAAAATGAAATGCTCCAGACAGGCAATGAAGGTATTTAAACGTTGATGTTGATAGAAGGTTGTTTTAAACCCGATACAAAGCAGTAAAGCGTTGGGACTTTAGACATAAAACCAGATGGTAAATGTTTTCAAATCACTAAAGACTTATTAGCATGTACTGTAATACTGAATTTAATTGAACGTGTTTGCAAATTTGGCCTTGGTTAAGGGCATTGGGTGTTTGATCCCCAGAGAAAAATGTTTAGTTTTTCCCTTATGTGTTCCTCGTAGATGTAAAAATTGGTTCTCATAGAGTTAACATTAAGTGGAAGTTTAAATATATTACAAATCTCCATCTAGAAACTTCCATAACCAGCTTAGTCTGCAGGGTTGTTTTGAAGGTGGTGTTTTTGGTTTCTTCTTTGGAATCACATAGCTATTGGTTGCTATCTGTGAGTTTGGAAACTTAAGTTTAATATAGATAAAATAAGCTGATTTACTTTCTGTACCAGTTCACAGTAAGGAAACATGTGTCACGTTCAAGCTGGAAAGTGACCACATTCGAAGAAGAATAATGTTAAAATAAGTTAACGTTGTGGCCTAGGTGTTCTGGGAACTAAATACTACAGTTAACTGGCAATTTCAATAAGTATCAGGAGAATAAAGCCAAACAAGTAACCAATCCTCAAACATCAAGTCTTATTTGCTTAATTTCTGTGTGATTCTTAGAACTCACTCAACATTAGAAACATTAAAGATTGAACTACATTACGAGATTTAATTTTCCCGAGTTAATTCATTCCTTCCTCCGTGGTATCATTGTAATGAGATCAGTGTGTCAGAAAGTAGAGAATGGGAATGAAAGGCATTCGGTGATTATAGGAAGTGAAATGAAGGGACAATGACAGCCAAACGTCCCTAACCGGACATTGAGGCGTAGTGGATATCATCCGTGTGGCCGTGCACTAGTTGTGAGACCTACATCTCTACACCTGATAACCACCTACACACACACACACCTACAACACGCACGCCATGTACACAGCTAACCGTCACTGAATATCACAATTTGTCCGCTTACATTCTTTGAAAATACAGTCCTGAAAATTGACAGGACATTTTGAAAATATCGCCCTTTATACTTAAAGGACGATCTATGAGAGAACCTACAACGAAAAGATTTTGTTGTGTTGTAGAATGGGCTGTTTCTATTAAATTTAGGAACAGACAAACTACAATTTGAAGGATCTGATTAGTTCATTACTTTAAAAAGGTTTTTATACATCCAATGACGGATAGAGATGTTTATTAGGATATATTTTACAGCTAAAGACAGCTCAAATTTACGTACTGTAATGTAACCATAAATGTTAAGTGTAAGTTTTCCTGTTTGCACTATGCGATTTCGCAGTTTTCCTATTACCACCATTTTCAGCTATAGGGTTGATATAAAATTGCTTTTTTCCAATTTACTCAACTATTTTAACAACCGAATTCTTCAAAATTGATTGTTCGTATTATGTTGATGGACATGTCGGATGAGTTCGTAATTGTGTGTAAAGGGTTGCAAAACCTGTAAATTTTATAAAATATTAACTCAATAACAAATAAGAATTTTATAACGAAAATATTACTTTCTGGAGTAAGAGTTCATTATAGTTAACAGTAATACGATATATGCTGGTTTTATTATAGTTCATCACCTTTTTGCTTTGAACATAAACAACATCTTTAGCATTTTATCAGATATTAAATCATAAATTTACCCTAAAAGTAAGCTATCCATAATTCACAATAATGACATATGTAGCAACGTTTGGTTACACAACTATGCATTCTGTATTTTGTTAATAATGCAACTTTAACATTATGCATAATTTATATCAACTGTTGACTAAATGGGGTTTTTATTACCTGTCATGCAGTTCCAAAAGTTACAATAGTGTTACATGTTTCGGCGAGATTCCATCGTCAGACACTTCAGTCCAGGGAACTAAATACGTTGAATCCGCTTGATTAGCTTCGTTGGTTTTTAAATGCGAACACTAGTTATTAGTCAACACAGGACAAGGACAAATATGACATCAATTTATTGTTGTATGAAAATAAGGCCTATCACGGCCTATCTCTGTTCCTGCTCGCGTACCGGCAATGTTGTGTTTCTGGGATCCAACACAATAATCCATACAAACATTATTTATGTCATATCTCTACGTGTGGTGTGTTGACCATGTGTTCGTATACAAAAAAAACAACGAAGCTAATCAAGCGGATTCAATGTATTTATTCCCTGGACTGAAGTGTCTGACGATGGCATCTCGCCGAAATATGTAAAAATATTGTCATTTTGGAACTGCATGACAGGTTATAAAAATCTATTTAGTTATTATTGCAGTTTTGGGGCTATCACAATGAATTATAATCAAACTTTTGTTCGAAAATACATAAACAATACGTCACACATTTTTACAAAACAGTTACTAGTGTTAAAGTATAAACTAAAAAAGAGCATGTAACTAGATGAAATTTAATTTATTTGTCAATTAAGATCTCGAAAAATATTTATAACTTTTAGTGAAGAGCGTTTGTGCTAAATATTTCCTATGTGAGAGTAGTGAGAGTATACCTTCAGTGCCAGCCACAATGGGTTATATTCTGTGGCTTAGCGGATGAACAGTGGCAAAAAACTAGAAAGCGTTTAGTATAGACGGAGAGGAGTGACCACGTATGTGACACGGAGATTCGTGAGTGTAGAAAATGTTGTGAGTGGAGTGGCCATACAAGAAATAGGTTTTACATCGTATAATTTCACTTAAACATATCAGGGTTCAGTTCCAATGATTCGCTGGATTATTGATTTCACACGAACGTGATCAATGATACTAACGTATAGGTGTGCGGCAGATAACAGTTTAGGGGACTTCGAGTTGAAAATATAGAAAACGACCTCAGCACAGCAATCCTGTAGACTATCAAAATATTCATTTGTCTGATAAATAACATGGACATTTTAAATTAACAGTTTTTTTTATTTACTCCTCAACTATTAAAAGCATAACAGCACTTGAACATAGTAAATTATTTGTTTTCTTGATCTACAAAATTATTTATTTAATGCTAAGAAATTTGTATATTTTAGGTAAAAAAATTGGGAAACGAATGTTTACCCCAAAACCCCTGTTTCCATCATAGACTGGTTTTATTTTAAATTCCATTCTGGTTCGTACAGATAATTTTGAAATTTTCTCCGTACTAACCTTAAATCCTAAAATAACGCTTTAAAAATACGATAGTATACTTTTTGTTAAGTTCTACAAGATGGTTTCAATGAAAATTAGGAATTATTTTCATAAACTAAGTTTACAAATTTAAAAACTGTTTTTTTATATTTTAAATTCCATCATACTCTTTTCTCATGACCCGATTTCGCTGGTTCGCGAATACATTAAAATGTATCCAGCTTAATCAGAACAGCAGTTTCTTTGCACATCACAATAGAGTTTTTCCAGACATCCAGACAAAACCTACACATAGGCGTTGCAAACACAACAGTAACAGTTTTAAAACTTGCCAAACCTTAAGGCAAACCAAATGCCTCGCAAAGAAATATTACGCGTATATATATATCTTTAGTATATTTTATCCTATTATAAACTAAAATAAAAGATGTATAGATCTATCAGGCATAGCCCTGTGGTAAAATTTAAAGCCACTTTTCCACCGTTTAAAATTAGCTTAAAACTACTTCACCATTACGTTATACCGGTTGGCATTTTTATTAACAACGGCGCTCTTGTGTTTTTCGTCAAACGCTGAGAAATGAGGACACTAATGCGTTACCAACACAAACATACACACAAACATACAGAAAAAATACGGAATTGAGCTAAAGCATTTACTACGCCAAATAAAGCAATATACAGCTAACATAAGAATTTAAAATACTTGTTTTTGTCATCAAATTGTATTATATCGTATTTGCGAGTCCTTATCGAGCATGGATTGTGCCGTCGGTAATTACAATTTATATTTGCTGAATTCCAAAGATGAACCAAACGCTTCTATTATTTATAGTGATATTTATTGATATCAATGCATTAAGTCAATCAACAAACGTATATCTCCCCAGGCCCCCTTGGGTGGGTGGTGGCTTATTAGCATACGGATTGGAAGGTATAAGTCTCGGGGGAATGTTGTTATTACTGGATCATTTTAATTGAGTATTGTTAATAGTTAATTGGCGATATATAGCGTTGTATTTGTATCTATGCAGCCTAAATGTAGCAGATACATCTTAGAGGGTATGTGGGTAGGTCTGTTAAAAAGTTATATCATAGCCATACAGTAGATGATTTTAGTTTATTTATTATTTTGTAATACCCATTTTATTGGGGTTTAGTTCAAGATAGAGTTTAGTTAAACAACAGCGTTTAACTGTTAAGCTACGAGTAACGTAAGATGTATAACTCACCAAACCGTGGCTCAGCATTACGTAAAGAACAAGTTCTGGTCTGTAAGTTAATCAGAGCGAATTCTAACGATTTGGTGTATGAATAAAAATGGACAATTATCGGTAAATTAAAATCTTATATCGGTATATTTACAGGCAGAGATAAGGGGTTAGATTAATAACTGTGTTCATAGTGACCGCGATGACTGGCCCTATGCAGCGCGTCTAGATGATGGTGCTTGGCAGCAACGACCTCGTGAGTGTCTGCCAGGTATCCGGACTTGAGCACCACGGGCTTGGCGAGGGGTCCATGGTAAGGTGCCACATGATAGGAGTGTCCATGGTCGGCACCGTAGTCTGAGGCGTATCTGCCATTGTAGTGGTCACCGTAGCCTCCATGAGCCTTGGCCTTGGCTACGGCGGCGAAATGCTCAGCCTTAGCAGCGGCCACCTCGTGAGTGTCTGCGATGTGTCCGTCATGCAGGACGTGTGGGATGGCGGTGGGACCGTGGTACCTGATGTCTCCATGATGACCGTCATAAGAGCCACTGTATTCCTGGCCATTACCGTATCCGTAGTCTCCTCCGTAGTGAGATTCCTTGGCTAGAGCGGCGAGATGAGCGTTCTTGGCTGCTGCTACTTCATGGGTGTCTGCCAGGTAGCCGTTGTGGAGGACGACAGGCTTGGCGGTGGGACCGTGGTAATAGCTGCAGTACACGCTGTTGGTGTACAGAGCAGCAAAGAGAACGATAGCCTGTAGAATACGTTTCAAGGTTAACAATAACATCTGGCTTGACAAAAAAATCAACATTCTCTGAAGCAGCCGCAGTAGGCAGTCCATCTAGGTAGACGGACCGAAGATCCTAGGGTTAAAATTGACCTGAGAATTGTTTACCTGTTTTGGCGAGGCTTGACCGAAGATCCCAGCACCATGAGGGGTCGAGCGGGGACCTTCAGTCAAGCCTCGCTCCTGGGATCTTCATCGAGTTTGATGAGGGTTGACAAGGGGCGCCGATAACACCTCACACCATGGGTCACTTACATTTTGCAGTAATTTAAAATAAAATATTAAGTAATGGTTGGGGGCCATGGGAAGGCCAGCAGTCAGTTTATTTATATGACTTGGAGTAATATGCCAACAATTACAAACAAAAATATGTTACTTTGACAGATCCCTCATTGATTATGAGCAGATTATGCAATTATTTATTTTATAGGTCTTAGCTTAGTATTATTAGTAGCGGCGAATATGAAGGAAATCCTCGTAGACTTTTTCGCGATAATTGTGCAACCAACCAATCACGCAAACATTGATCATAAAAGAGTAGAGAATTATTTCCTTATGTGGGTAGTTCCATAGATGAAACATACTCCCTTAGTAGATTTCTCAACCTTATGGAACAGCTGAAGCCAATTTTATACTTCTGTTCTGTGCAAATGTGTGTCATTTGCCATCACTGTATACCTGGCTGCGTGAGTCATCAGCCCCAACCCTGGTCCGTCGGTTATCACCCCTCGAGGCCTGAGCCTTCTTAAAACTCCCCATAAGATTATTTCATAAATGCAGTCACCAAAGTAGAGTTAAGACCCCAGAATTTTTTTTGAATCAGTAATGAATTAAAAATAAGATTGTCTTTAAAAACTGCTTTAATGACATCTTAAATAAATATTACGTGAATACAGGGTGAACAACTTAACCACCATTGCTATCTAAGACACTATTAGATTTAGGGAAAACATCAAAGGGAACTTCAACTATTTTCTTGTGACATACAAAAGTATGAATTCCACTTTTTAAAAATCACCAGTATTTTCCAATATGGAGGTTAACTTTAAAATTACTTATTAGACAACTTGTAACCTATTTTATGATGATTTTAGAATGTAAATGCAATTTAAAACGTTTTAGTAGCTGCATTTTTTCCATAAAGCTACTTGTTTAGGAGTTACAGCGTGTTACATTTGGAAAAGAGTGGCTTTTTGTGAACATTCTGCATGATGTAGTTCATATAAGAATAAGATGATAAAATACAGGGAGATTCATAAGATATTTGAAGTCTAGTTGTCATTTTTTGTGGCTATTTTGTAAAAACCTTAAGGAATAATTTTATGATCTTTTTAGAATGTATATGCAATTTTCAAATTTAAGACTAATTTATTCTTTGCATTTCTTCTCAAAGCTTACTCGTTCAGGAGCTATCATGCAGAATGTACCAAAAAGCCACTTTTCCCAAAATGTAACACACTGTACCTTCTAAACGTAGCTTTATAGACGAAATTCAACTAATGAAAACGTTTTTAAAATTACAGTCTAAACTCGTCATAAAATACAAGGTGTTCCATAAGAAATTTGTAAGTTACCTGCCATATTGAAAATATCAGCCATTAAAAAAAGAAATTCATATTCTTGTATGTTGTAAGATAAAAGTTGGAGTTCCCCATACAATGTTTGTTGCCCTGTATATTCGCAGAATATTAAACACTGAAACTGTGGTTATTAAGGTAATATTTCAAGTATTTTAATGAAATTTAATCTTATAGATGCACCATGTACTGTGCCAAATGTCATTTCTATATTATCTATTGTGATAACTAATCTTAGGCCCTATAAGGAATATTCAAATAGTTTAAAATACCTTGACATAGATAGGCCTATTCTGTTTCACTTGCTATTATGTGAACTTTTTTTGCGTCTTTTTTAGCCGAACAAGATGGTAAAATTAATTTTCACAATTCATAGTTGTAACTGGAGTTAGCCTATAACCATTAATTTAATATACAAACAAATATAAGTACAACTATATAGTTGTGACACATAGGAACGGTCAAGGCAGGAATTCCGGGAACTCTGACCCTACTGGTGGCAAATAGTAGGACACCGTTCGATGCACTGTATATGTCGTGTTTGTTTACAATTCATTTCTTGTTGTTTCAGTCATTTAAACCCCCGTTTAACCAAATAAAACTATATAATCATAATTAATAAATCATCCTCTAGTTATATTCAATTCAAATTCAATTCAATCTATCTTTATTCATTCATCAATACAAGAAAATAACAATTGACAATTAATATACATTACATAGAATACAAGACATAGTTATAACCAATACAAATTGAGAATGAATAGTTAGGTTCCACATTTTCTCGTGTTGAGGAACCATTACAATCTAAAAGACGTACTGGAGAACAAAAACAAATAATACAATCCTCATAAGGTGTCAGTCTGTGGTCACGGAGGTAAAGGTGCGGTAAGTACATATATAAGTGGTATATGCAATTGTAGCAACTCTACTCAATACCAGTGTGTGTGAATCGGTCTCCAATCTCACTTCATGTGTTTTCAAATCGACGCAACTGCTATTTTATGGTAAAATTATCAAATTCAAAATGCATATCGCTATATTTTAGGTCTATAATCGGATGGTAGAAATGAGTAGTCACGTGACATTTGTTAATAAGTTCAACAACTAAAAAATAACAATTAATTGTTAATTAGGTTGTTTTAGGGCAGTTGGCCCCCATTAAAACTGCCAGAATTTGTCACTGTGCGTGTAAACTAGATGTTCTGAACTATTCCGTTTTACTTGAATACTCGATTCCCGTACGTAGGACGGGCCAACGGCTCGTTTTATTAAAAATCTAAATACACATTCCAGGATATAATGTTATTATATTAGCCCCAGAGTTACTATTTCTGTGACATAATTTTAAACTTTTAAGACGGATGTGAACATAAAATGTATTTGCATAATAACTGTATAGTATGTAATTAATATTAAATATTAAGTTTACTGAATACGCGTTTGTTACGTTATAAATAGTTTACAAGTATAACGAAAACCCAAAAGACTGATTTTCGTGGGAAAAACACATGCTGGGAAGAAAATTATCTGTAATTTCAACTAAATATATTTAAAAACGAATTGTGTTCAATTTTTTCAGTTTTAATTTCGTGCGGTTATGCTTTTGCAGTTTTATAAAGTTATACGCTATATAAATTTAATCATAGTCTGGGTGCTAAAAAATGACACATAGACTGTTATTTTGTTGTCTGTTTAAAACAAATATATTAGTTTAGTTTAATAATTATGGTTTAAGACTAGCAGGAAAACAAAGTGTTAGTCTAAGATTTGCAATACAAATCATATATCACGGATGTGAGCTTGGAACTAATTATGAAGGAGGATATAGACAGATAGTCATAGCTAGTCCCAGCGGTTCTCCGCCACTGGCAGGTAGAGGTGGAGGCCCGAGTGCTGTATACCTGTTTTTCGAGGCTTGACTGAAGATCCCAGGACTAATGAGGGCTAAGGAGGGGATCCTGGGTCAAGCATCGCCAAAATATTTTACGACCGACCCTTGATTGGGCTACCCTGGGATCTTCAGTCCTACAATCGTCCATCTAATGGAACCTTAAGAAAATAAAAGTTTATATTACGTAGTTCAATTGTAAATACCAATTTTCAATGAAAACGTCATTCAACAATAAAGTTAAAGCAGTTTTTCAAATTGTATTAGAATCTTTCTTCAATCTTTACTCAAAAGTCTGTATTTCTGTAAATGGGAATAAGGAGGTTATAACTCCTACCTATAGGATAATATCATTTTATAATATATCGGGTGTCCCATAATAGTCCCCCCTGGTTAATTCTGAGCGGCTGCAAATATTCCAACGAGCTTCGATAACCGTTACTAGGATAATGTAAAATACTTTTTGGTGATGACATTCACCCCCACCCCAAATAGGGGTTGATTGGATAACTTAAAAACTTTAAACTGCATCAATAAACTCACTTGAACGGCAGCACATCATTTCAAAGAACTTATAAAAAGGAAATTAATCCCGCAAATCTGACTTTGATATGACAAATTTTCCAAAATTTATGGCAAGATATGTTAGTCGTTAATTTAACTGGAACTTGACGTTCTATCACTTTTATTATTTTCTGTAAAGTTTAAATAACCTTCAGTTTACGCAATTTGGTAGTTCTTCTGGTTTACATTGAAAAGTCAAAGCAAATGTAAACATTGTGAGTTTTCTCGTTACAGCCATAAAAACCAATAAATATTTACTTTTAAAATCCTCCCCTCAGAACTTTTAAAGCCAAAGGGGCCCATGGTCAGTATTGAAATGTGGATAGCCCTATTACCATTCTTGGTATGGTAGCTATATTTTTGTAAAATGTAAGCCCAGTCGGTTCAGTAGTTTTTGCTCCTATTAGTAATAGACATACAGACAGATACCATTAGATTTTGTATATAATAGTATAGATGCATTACTGTTGTACAATGAAAAGTTGTGATTTTAGATTAAATTAAATACAGTATAATTTAAGGATAGTTACTCGCAAATCTGGATTATGGGGAGAGCTGATGGAGTAAGAACGCTTGAAACATTCTTTTTTATCTATCTCACTAAATAGAATAAATAATCATGGTAAGCGGATAACTATCAAAGAGGTTAATTAAAATCATCATATCTACATAGATTATTAGAGGAAATAAAACCATCGTACGCTTAAGAATAAGAAATTAGAAAGTTAAGAAGTGAATAATTAATTAGAATCTCAATATTGATTCCAAAAAACAGGGGACGATAACGCCCACCGAAAACCCATTTTCTTTATCCAATGTAAACTTTCTTTCAGCTTAACTATCAACCTAAGTTCGCTAATCCTAGGTGTACTGTAATAACTGATAATTTGGCATCTGTAGCGTCAGCGAATTTCAGACTTGAATAATTACCAAGAGTTTTCACTTCAAGTAAAAAAGCTTATATTATCTATTCATAAAACCCCTTATTTGGAAATATTGTTGTGCTGATATACCCAACGAGATTTTTAAAATGACTCAAAAATTGGTTAAAATCTTGATATAAAAAGAGTTGTAACACAACTAAATTGGTTAAGAACTCACTTAATAACACATAACATGTTTATTGTGTATAGGTAGGAAATAATATTAATAGTTGTAAGAAAATCAAGTGAAATAAGTCTTTGGAATTGTCTATGTTAATACGAAGCACTGACAATAATAATAATTCCCAATAAAAACATTACTCAACTAGATCTTATAATTTTAAAAATCTATAAAATTGTGCTCGATTCTGAGCAAAAGGTTATCTATTGAAAAGTTTGGTTTTGTATTGAAAAGGGGCTATAGAATCGTTCATAAGAAAAACTAAAAAAGTTAAACCGTAAGCGTCGTCCCTTTTGATTATTTTGAAGTGTAAATGTAACTTGTTATAAAAAACCAACAATTTATCCGATTCGAGAGCTCTCAATCACATCCAATGAATGTTTTCTACCACCGACATTTCTTTATATCGTCCGTTTTAGCAATATGTAAATAACAAAAACAAACTCATTTTTTCTAAAAAAATAATTTAGTTTATACAAGTTGATTAAGAGATTGGTCGTTCGAAGTTAAATGTGCCAGATACGCTGGTTTCAGACCATGTGTCAGTTCTACCTTATAACTGCGATTATTTATCACTTAGTTTGATCGTAGACCAATTTTATTTCTGATAAGTTTTATGGTTTATTCATTTCCTATTACTAAAATACTGTTTATAAGACTTTTTAATAGGTTTATAATCATTTGATAGAAATACTGATCAATGGACACTTAATTGATTTAATAATGTTTTAGCAAGGATGGGTTATAACAGAATTACGGTACTGTGGTTCAATACGGGTTTATGGTAATATTTTTAAAATGTGCATTTACTACTTACCCAAGCACTGTACATTGTTGACTTGTTGGTTGGTAACTAATAGCTACACCAGTGAAACCTGGGGTTTAAATACAAGATAGCATTCAGCAACACATCCTCCCAAATGAGAAATATCGGAAATGCCTCACATAACAACTCCCAACTCAAGTGGAAACTGTTGTGCCTGCGTAAACATAGTATAATTATTTACTTGACATTATTATTATTACTCTAGAATTGCACGCAAATGATACTATTTTCATAATTTTTAACAATATAAAAAATAGTTGGATAAATATATTCTGAGGCATTTAATATATTCTGGTAGCTCAACTGTTATGGCCATTAGTATATAACCTTTGTATTTACCCTGTTATCTTAGAAAGAGATTAATTTGTCGGTGTTATTTTTTTCTTTTGGATAATTCATGTTCCGGTAAAATTCTAAATAATTGTAAACTGGAAAAGTTAAAGTGTGTTCTTTAAGATTTACAACTAAAGACTTGGGATTGTTTTGCTGCCATAGCTATCAGTGATTTTATTGTTGCAATTATTTTGGGGTTACACCTATAGTAACCTAAGCATTAAGTGTACTCTAGCCAATATACTGTAGTCTTGCAATCTTATGATCTATCTTTGCCATAAGGCTATTCAGCATGTCCAAAGAAACAAAAAATATAACATAACATGTGTCCTATCTCATTCCGTTTTTGGTCTGTGATTAAAAAAAAACACCCTGTATACTCGTATTTTTATAAATAGCAATATTAATCTCCTCACTACTTGATATGACTAACGAAATAAATTGTGTTCTTACAAGGTATTGTATTCATTAATTATTATTCCCTACACTTTTAATGATTGCTTTTAAAAACACCAACAATAAGGCAATCAACTCAAACGAGGCAAAATTCTAAAAGTCGAAGATTGGACGTGTTTGTTGTATCTTCGAGTAAATTTGATGAGTAAACTGTATACACAGAATAACATTCAGATTCTTTTTTTGCACACACTACTGTTCGTTATGAAATAGTCTTTACACAGTTTTCTCGTGGTATTATATACTTGCATAATATTCTAAGCTCAAGAATTCCTTAAAATAACTATTTAAGTAGTAGTAGTTACAATCTAGAAACAGTCCACTAGGAAAATAAACATAAACTTCAGTCATTGCCAATATAATTAACAAAGTAACGAAATAAATTACAACAGTTAAATAAATAAATATTAACAATAAGTTATTGAGCATTCTGCGCGGGTTGAATGTACTGTTGAGGTATCTGTGCCCGGTAGGCCATGAGGTGAGGGTAGGGCGGCACAGTGTCGGCGCCCAGGGCACGACCGTGGACTGCTGGGGACAGGTCCATCCTGTCCTGCGCCTGGATGCTGCGTCCGTAGCCGCCGGTGGCACTGCTAGCCCAGTCTCCGTGGCCTCCTAGCTCGTGACTGCTGGAGTACTGGTGTGCATGAGTCACCACGGGCTGCTTCACGATCTCATACGTAGTCTTCTGCTCGCCACCACTGAACAGCTTCTTGAGAGCGACGATGCCGGCCAACACAAGGGCGAGCTTGCTGACGATGAGCGCCTTACCGGCCAGGAGGGCGAGGGCCTTGTAGGCGAGGGCGACCATGAAACCCTTCATCATCAACCCGACCAGGAGGGGGCCAGCGTACTTCTTCTTCTTTCCTCTGCCTGAACATAACATGTTAATAAAGCCATTGTTTAGCCATTTGTTGGACTGTATCTGCCTGCAGACGGACTGGGAAACAATTTACAAAAATATTGATTCACTCATATCGTTTTAAATATGGATTTCATACAGCTACAGTCAAAAACCATACTGCGTGTATTATTGATTATCGTGTTTAAAACATTGATCTGCAATGAATATTGAAACATTACAGACTTACGTTTAACCAGGTAATTTGTATTCATATGCAACCCCAACATGAGAAGTAGACTTATGAATGAGCAATGAACACGGCATGGTAAATTAAAATAGCATACTTTCTTCCTCCTCGTCCTCGATCTCATTGTCCAGGAGCGCCTTTGACTCCTCGACCAGCTTGGGCACTTGCAGCTGGACAGAATGAGTCTGGAAGAAGCTGCCGAACCTCTCCCAGAGCAGAGCGTCTATCCTGCGGTCACGCTGCTCGGGGTCCTGGGGTAGAGAGTTCTCGTCCACTGACAAGTCGTTCAGCGACCGCTGGCCGGCGTCCGGCTTGCTGACGAATGTTACACCTACACATGAAAATTATATACAAAACACTGAAACTGAAAAACCCGTGGTGAGAGATCCTTTTAAGGCAAAAATTTGCAGTTTATACTGTATACAATAGTGCAGGCTATCTTTAACCATAATAGGAGCTCGATTAACTTTAACACGTCATTAGTAAAAAAAACAAACAAAAAAACAAAAAAAAAACAATGATGAAGACTTTACTTAGATAAGGAGGTAGTCAATTTCAATCTTATTCAACAATTAAATTTATCCTACTTTTATAGGCTATCATATCTGCTTGAAAATCTGAATCAGTCTTTTTAAAACGTAGGTAAATATCATAAACACAGTTTTATAGCTCATAGTTTCATAGCTCGCTCTACAAGCCTCAGGACTTTCAGCTTAAGGCAGCCCACCATGGCGTTGTTGTCTTGTGATTCACATTGCTTGTAGGTTTGGCTCACGTCATTAGTCTAGTCTTATTGTGAACTCTATAAGCCCACAAATAATTGATAATACCCGCAGAAAACCTGTGGACTAAGTGAATTTCCATTTGCCTTATTTGAATATTTTACTCCTTAAAATGTCACATTTATTCCTTAAATACCTATTCAGTATTGTAGTTGTAGCTGCAATTATTGTTGTAAAACTGTTTACTGTTAGTTTATGTACAGGGAAACTGTTATTTTTAGCAATTTCGTGTAATTTTTATTGGAACTTATTTTATTTCATATTCCCCTTGTTCTGAGAGATCATTATGTGTTTTCCAGAATTTTGAAATCATACATTGAATTGTAACCATCCGAATGCAATAATATTTAATGCCCAGTTTTAAAGGATGTGTAAACAATAAGCAATAATATTCAGCTTACCAACACCTCATTTCATTTTACAGTTTACATAAAAGGTTCAAATGTTTAAACCCATTAACCACAAATCCTACGTTAGTCTCAGAAGAAACTCTTACATACCACAATGAAATTAATGTTTCAATTAGGTCGGTTCCATATTCTAAGTTTAAATCATTAGAATAGAAACATTGGCAGCTCTCCTGTCTGTAGCATATCGTTTGAGGATCATTAAGTCTGCTGTTAGCTGCACCGCCTTGAAGTTTCCAACAATACATCGTAAAGAAACGTACTCTCCGTGCTGGAGCCTCAGCGGACTGATGACTCTTCTGTTATTAGTGTCTGCATTCTAGCAAGTAAATGTAGGACACACGGGCACCTGTTCATCCAAGGTCACGGTCACAACCGTCTATTACGAATTCTCATTAGTAATTGAATTATAGTAAAATAAGCAATGCCAAATTAGTAGGGTGATAAATTTTCAATCGATGTCAACAATCTATGTACAACTAATTTTAGAAAAGGTAATTAAGTTAAATGGATAATGCTATCAGTTATAATACTATTGACTATTGAATACTATAGTAGTATTAATAGTCAAAGGTTATATCAATAGGTTAACTGGATTCCCAAAGATGAAACCATCCAACTCAATAGAGAGTAAGTGACTAAAGAAATTGAGAAGTTCAATTTTTGTAAAGAGTTTTTTTAAGCTTCCGTTTATCGGAAAATAATTTCAAACCTCTTTCTCTATGGTTTATGTGTTTGGAGCAGCTTATGATACCACTTTAAATTATAGAATTAAAGATGTGTAAATTGTTTTCAACTAAATAAGCCAACGACCAAAATAATTACAGCAAAGGCATTAGACTTGAACCTAAAAATGAAATATGCAAAGCTCACCGTCAGCTACGGGTATACTGTCCAACTTGATAGCTCGCTCTACAAGCCTCAGGACTTTCAGCTTAAGGCAGCCCACCATGGCGTTGTTGTCTTGTGATTCACATTGCTTGTAGGTTTGGTACACGGAGCGCACCCCCTGCAGTACACTGGCCGTCGTACTACCCTCATGCTCCCCTGACTGTGCTAGACTCAGCACACAGCATGAGCACACCAGCAGTAACCTGCAACAATAACTGATTACTGACACTGCTTGTAGGTTTGGTACACGGAGCGCACCCCCTGCAGTACACTGGCCGTCGTACTACCCTCATGCTCCCCGGACTGTGCTAGACTCACCACACAGCATGAGCACACCAGCAGTAACCTGCAACAATAACTGATTACTGACACTGCTTGTAGGTTTGGTACACGGAGCGCACCCCCTGCAGTACACTGGCCGTCGTACTACCCTCATGCTCCCCGGACTGTGCTAGACTCAGCACACAGCATGAGCACACCAGCAGTAACCTGCAACAATAACTGATTACTGACACTGCTTGTAGGTTTGGTACACGGAGCGCACCCCCTGCAGTACACTGGCCGTCGTACTACCCTCATGCTCCCCGGACTGTGCTAGACTCAGCACACAGCATGAGCACACCAGCAGTAACCTGCAACAATAACTGATTACTGACACTGCTTGTAGGTTTGGTACACGGAGCGCACCCCCTGCAGTACACTGGCCGTCGTACTACCCTCATGCTCCCCGGACTGTGCTAGACTCAGCACACAGCATGAGCACACCAGCAGTAACCTGCAACAATAACTGATTACTGACACTGCTTGTAGGTTTGGTACACGGAGCGCACTGATTACAGTACTACTCAACGTGGAAATGTCAATCTGCACGCGTCCCCTAACGTTGCTAGTGCACAGGTATGAGCATCATAATTGCCTGAGTTTTAAACCGGGTGATATCTAAATTTGGTGTCACTACGACGGACTTTGGGTTTGAACACGAGCTACGCTTTGCCCATTAAAAAAATTAAATTTCTTTGTCAATCTGTCAATCGAGGATTACTCAATTGCATTTAAGATTGTCCTTATAAGAATTGTGCTAAGCTATTGTACATAAAATTGAACCAATTAAGATGTTTTATGCCAGAATTATAGTTTTTGAACATCTATCAATAAGGTAGAATTGAGTTTGGTGAAATTCATAAACAGTTAGATGAACCATCAGCTAATTAAGGATCCCTCATGGTGCTTCTGACATTTCCGATTGTTAGAACCACAATGAGAAAATGGAACTTTGTTTATTTGAGACCTAATCTGCCTAGGGATCCAACAGTCCCAGTTTCCCTCCAAAAAGTCTATGCCAACTGTCAAAGAATAGGGGTGTGCCTATAAATGAATCTAAAACTCCAAGAAAATGTACACTGTTTGCAATCCTTGCGAGTCAAGGTAGGTAATTCAGACTTTACATAGGGCACAAAAAATGTTGAATTTACATATTGACTACCTAAGGCAACTGATAAATATATATTGTAACCGATCATATAACAATCAACATTGACAATATCTAAACAAACCAAATCTTATCAAAAGAAAAACAAACAAAACATAAATCCAATGCTCCGGTCGGTGATGCGAGTATCCCAAGAAGCACACAGATCACAAACACTGCACAACACTAGTCTTCCTTACCTAAGTGACAGATACTGATACATGGTGGATCGGAGAAGGAACGACTGACGTCCGGTGGGCGCCGGACATTGTATTTAAGCCCGGGAGAAGGGAGAGGTAGGTAGAGCGCGGCGGGCGGAAAGCAAAAGCGTGACACATAGTCTGATAGCACGTGTGTGCATCGGGTGCTTAAGAGACCGTGGCCAATTGAGGCTAGGGAAACTTTTATCATATTGAAAAAATAACGGCTGATGAATAACGAAAGTTATGAGCTTCTTTAGAATTTCGGTCCTCATCATCTGCTTTTGACGCCCAACAATGCTTCGATATTGGCCCTCATTGTCAGCGCGGTGTGCAGTTTTAATCACATTAGGACGTAGGAGTTTTTCAGGGGATTCCTGGCCTACTATGGGAAAAGTGGAGCAATTATTGCAGTCATAGCGTTATAACGTCACACTCCATCCTCTAAAATAATTCGAGTATCCTGAACATAGACTACAACAATTTCACTGTCGTTCGATAAAAATTTATGGTTGTTTCATAGCTGATCCAACCCTACATTCAACTGAAAACAAAAGTGTGGCTTGAGTACAGTACCGTATGAATCACTGTTAATCTTATTATCAATGTTAAGGAATTATTCACGATTAAGTTATCTTTGCCACATTCAATTACAGCCGTGTCGTAACACTTTAGCCCAAGTAACATTTCGGCCCGAAATCCTCAGATGTGGCCTGAGGTCCAACTCTCTACCTGCTCTCTAGGTCTTCACGAACTATTTGGGAGGATAGTAAAAAACTAGCAACACTTAAAACTAACAAAAGGCACTAAATTTCAAATTGACTCACCACAAACTACGTTATGTTAAGTTAAGTTATGTCAGGTCAGGTTACGATAGGTCAGGTTACTGGTAGGTTGCAAAGTATACAAGCCATGGTCCGCTTACTTCCTGAACTACGTTCCTCAACCCTTGTCGATTTTTCCTCGGGCCGAAATTTTACTCCATTATCTTATTAATTCAACTGTAATAGCGAGTGGGACGAAGTGTTACAGTACAGTAGCCTACGTTGGGCTTTGACTATTGATAAAACTTCAGTATTTGAAAGTGAATAGTTTGGCTCAACCAAAGCTTTAGGATCTAAAAATATTTTATTTTTAAAGTTATAAATAAGTAAGTGTTATTCTAAAAAGAACCATTTTCTGCTATGCAATGATGGAAGTTATTTATATCCAGTGTATTATATGAAGTATGCAAATGTAAACATAACGTTTCTTTAGAGCTTGGTTAAAAGTAAGTGGTTAAGTAATAGGAAACCTTTAGAGGGGAGGTTAGATCCATAAAACTACTGAGACAACTTTATTCTTAACTATTTTGGCTTAATGACTAAGCCTTTTTGCAAATAAAAAAAAATAGAAAACGTAAAGCTGTTCATGAGGACAATGGTTTTTAGAGGACCAGGAGAAGACCCATTAGTTTTACTTTAGATACTGTTGGTTTGTCAACAAACAGATTGCAGTTCAATGTTGTGTGACATAACAAGTTATTGTCCAGCATGGTAAACTAGCTTAAACCTTATATTACAGACTAGTTGAACTATATGTTGAATGGGTGTATGGTACGTATAGTAAGGTAAACAATAAATCTACACTTCAACCCAAAGTGGTCTAATCTAAGACAGTGAAACACCACTTTAACTAAATAGCTTTGTACTTGAGGTTCATGATATATGTATTTCATTCAAAAGATCATGAAATTCTGTGCATTGTGGTATTTAATTGTTTTAGATTTTACCACTTGTGCTCAAGCTATCATCTGTTACTTTTCGTGAATATTTGTCAGACTAAGGACTAACTAACCAACAACTAACAAGTCGAGTTTTGGTGTGATTTAACTTTAGGTAGGTATATTAGTTTAAATCGTGATTATGAGTTGTAAATTTTGTAAATGTTTGGTTTGGATATTATTTATTGTCGCCTTGGTTGAAATGTGACTTTAATTTTAGAAATTTGAACACTGTATTTAGCCGGTTTTTTTTTTTACTTTATTGACTGTTTACCAACAACAAATATCGCGAGTGTGACTGTGACCTTATCAATTTGATTGAATCATATTAATTAGTTGTAAATTTGTACATTTAGTTTGTAAAATGTTTTTTAGCATAGACCTACTAAATTTGAGATGTACATTTAGCCCGTTCTTGAAACATTTTGTAATTGTGAAGGAACGATTTGATCGTCACAAAATATAAAATACTATATAAAACACTATAAAATATTTCTTTCTTTATATTTGCCCTTATAACTATATATATATATATATATATATATAAATTCATATATATATATATATATATATATATATATATATATATATATATATATATATATATATATATATATATATATATATATATATATATATATATAAGGGAATAAATTTACTTTCATTTTCTATAGTTGGTATTTGGGGTTTATGTGTTTGAAAAATAATATACATGCTAGAATAACAAAATATTTTTCCCTAAAATAAATAAAGATTTATAAAAGTCATAAAGATTTATAGTAATGATCATTTTCCATGAACAATTCTTACTTCAGTTAGAAAGTAATAATATAATAACTAATGTCAATTAGTTATTATAATGTTAATGTCAATGTTAATTAGTTAACTAATGTTAGAAATAACTAATGTTATTGCCTTTACAAAAATGTGTACTTTTACTACATTTCTTGAGAAAAAATTTATTTGGTTTTTGTTTGAAATTTGTGTAGATATTGGTATTTTTTGGTTTTCAGAGCATAACTTTCTAAAAGAAAATGATAATTTACATATTTTTACATTTCTATGTAGATAAATAGAAGCGAAACATTTTGTGTATCTTAACTTTTATATAAAATAAACAATTATTTGTTTTTGCAGCAAATTTTTACTTTCAAAATTTCAATTTTAAAAACTAATTTTTTTACGAAATGCCAATACAAGGTGTTCTAAATACTTTTACTGTCAAATAGTTCTTTTGCCATTTTTAAATTATTCATTTCATTACGAACAATTCAAGTATACGGTTCAATAGGTTTGCTCTGTTGGTTTAGTGTTTATGATTTTTTTTAATATGACCGCATAATCACCAAAAATGCCTTGCCACTACAGACTAAAGAATTCACTCATTTCCAGTTGGAGAGTTTTAAGCCTTGAAAATTTTTTATCCCGGATATCCATACTCAAATACATCAATTATTTTCAATGGGCATTGATACTTTGCCAATTTACAACTACATTAGTAAACAACAGTAAGTATAATAAATTTGACATCGTAGCGAAAAGTATAGTCGTATTTTTGTTGAAAAAAATATTCCACAGCCTATTCCTGGTGCAGTTGGGGAAAACAATGTAATTAATTATAAGAAAGAAGCGGTCATTAAAGCGCAGTCTAGACACTCGTTGTTAGTGTGGTGTGTTCAGCCGACCGTCCCCTGACCAGTGGCCATCTCTCTACGTGCAACGTGCATGCGAGATATCGTCTACAATTATACTGTCCACTACAAGGCGAAAGCGTAAACAATTATACATGAAATGTGGTGATTAGGTGGACTTAACCGTTGTATCCATGCGAAATTAAGTTGCGATTATTGAATTGGTTTTTTACTTTTCGTGTTAGTTCTGATGATCTACCGTTTTGTTAGATGTCTGTGGATCTGTCAGGGCTTGATTACGTTTTAAATATTGTGTAATTCCTATTGGATATGTTTTATTTAGCTGGCCGACGATGGACAAAATTAAAGCACTTCACTATGTTTGCATTTTTAGGAAACCTGTATCAGAAACACAAGTAGCGAAGGCTTAAACCAAAAACTATATTATAATTGTTAATTGATACAAAGCTTTTTAGTAAACATGTATGTAATGATTTTTCGTCATAGACCCCATTATTTCTTCAATTCACTTAAATTGTTTCGCATGACATCTTTTACATTTTTTCCTATCTGATATGTCATGTGAAGATTTTGTTCTATAAAATACACACTTAACAATACATTGCACCGACCAATTTCAATATACAATCCTTACAATAAAGTTATTCTTTAGAATAGACGGATCTTTTAGAATTTGTATTTTGTAAATCTTTT